AAAATCTGAACTGAAATCAGGACAATTTTTGAAAATTCCCCAAAATTCTTCCGAATGTTCTTTTTAATTCAAATGCTTCACATATTTAGAATGAGTCTTTGCCTTGAAAAATATGCAAAAACCAGTGCCGTCGCATAAGCAGTTTTTTGGTAATTGACTTTTAACAAAAAACTCGTCACAGCCAAATTACACATGTTGAGCCTCAGATTTGAAAATTCGTCAAAATTTATCCAAATCGGTCATTGAATTACTATGCTCCAAATCTGTAGAACATTATTTTCTCTATCGTTCGAGATCTAACTCAACTCTCTAGCTCAACTGCATTTTCCGCAATTATTTTTTTAGGCCATGGCTACCAATTTGTAAACCGAATAGTTTAATGTACAAAATCAAAAAGTTGTAACCAGTTTCCAAAATTTTTGGCTAAAACCAAATTTTTCACAGATGTTGAACAGTATTCTGGCTTCCAAATAGTGCCACCATTACTGCTCCAGCTTGGTTGGCTTCCGTCTAATGAATTTTTTAAAAGCGACTAAAGACTTCGATCCAAAAGATAGCACAGGACCTCAACCGACTTCAATCGACACAATCGAAGCAATCGGACAAGTTAGTTTGATGATGAACTTGCCATTACTTACGCGTTCAACCCAGAAACCGGAAAAAAACTCCCTGGATTTGTGCTCTATAAATATTATTATTATTAAGGCCTAAAAGTACGTTGTAACACTCTCCATGGAAGCCACCGGCGTTTCCTTCGGCGTCTTCTCAGTCTTTTTGAGGGTCTCTTGGATCTCTGCAAGCGTCATCCCTCTGGTCTCAGGCACCATGAAGTAGATGAAGATCAGCCCGAGGATGGTCACCAAAGTGAACATCCAGAATGGGGCTGCCATGCTGGCTGCTTCTGATATGAGGGGAAACGTGAGCAGCACTGCGAAAGAGGCTGTGAAGGAGGCGCATACAGTCAGTCCGGAGCCGATGCCTGGATAAAAGGAAGAAAGGAGTGGTTTGATAACTTCCTCGGGAGGATTGGATGAAGTCACCTTTAACATTGGAGGGAAAAATCTCGCCAACAATTGACCAGGCCAGCGGCCCCAGGCCGCAACTGAAGAAAATCATGTAGGCCACCATGCAGGTGAGAGGCAGCCAAAAGACGCCCTCCAAGTCCACCTCGCGCTTCTGCAAGAAGAAGAACGTGCCCAGAATGGCGCAGGCCACACCGCATCCAACTGCGGACACCATGTAGAGGATTCTTCGCCCGACTTTTTCCACAATGAGGGCAGTGATGAAGTTGGAGCTGATCTGCGACATGCCGAAGATCACAGTGGACACATCGGGGGAGATTTTCGTGCCACTGGCCTGGAAGATTGGCTTCAAATAGGCCATCACTGGGTGGATGCCCGAGAGCTCTTGAATCAGCACTAGTCCGATACAGATGACCAAGGCCCGCTTGGCCTGTTGGGACTTGAGCAGTTCCTTGAAACCCCCTGAAAGCGAAGGAGTTAAGGAAGCTCACCCTCGGCCAATTCTCGGCAATCACCTTTGCCTTGAGTCTCCTGCACGGCCGCCAGGATCTCCGAAATCTCCTCCTGCACCTCCACGGGCTTTTTCTTGCGCAGCTTCACCAGGGCGGCCTCAGCCTCCTGAATCCTCCCCTTGCCCAGCAGGAATATCGGGGTTTCCGGCATGAAAATGCCAAACACTGCAACATTCGTAAATCTTAGAGGTTGCAATGGGGAGGCTGCCGCCAGTTGGTACCTATCAGGAACACCACCAGGGGAATATTGCAGGTCATCGCATAGAGGGGTATGATCAGGTGGGCTCCTACTGAGAAGGGGTAGAAAAGGCCCAAAGTGATGAACACGCCGAAGAGGCAGCCGAATTTCGCGCGATTGTGGTTCTGGGAGATTTCCGCCACATACATTGGGCAAATGGCAAAATAGCATCCCACTCCGATCCCCAGCAAGAACCTTTACAGAATAAATGGGTTTAGTTTGGGCCGCCGATGGTTCCGTGAACGCACCTTGCAAAGTACCACAGCTCAATAATCCGGGCAAATGCCAGAATGCAGAAGCCGGCCATTGAGGGAAACCCCAACAGCATCATTGTGAACTTTCTTCCGTATCTATCGGCGATGTAACCTGCGAAAATCAATCGAGTTTGAGCGCTCAACAGAGGCGGATCTAGCTTTACATTCAGGGGGGG